CTCCTTGGTATACCTAAGCTTAAAATCGGTGCTTCGTCTGCATTTGGATGTTTTCATTACACACCCTTTTTAACTTCTACTCATACGTTCATCTTTTTCATCTCCCTGTTTTGCTTTTTAGTGTAATTCCATCATGTATCATTGTATGTGCCAGCTGAAATTAATATTTTTCTACTCTGTTTTTTGTAAATTGTCAAAATCAACTTATGGGTACTAAATTTCTAGTCCATTTATTTACAAGAGTAAAATTTTTATAGTATAAATAATGCGTTTTAACTGTAACTAGGGCTACCCATCCTGATTTCCTTGAATGTGCAGGATTTCAAAACTTCAGATGGAGCGCCGGAGAAAGTAAAATAGGAGAGTTTCAGATTAAAGCCCTTTTTGTTTCACGGGGATAGGAGATTGGTATGACTTTATGAAGGTCTGCACCATCACCTTCATAAAGTCATACCAATCTCCTTTTCTTAACTTTATTTTATATTAACAAGACTGTTCTTCTTATAAAAAAAGTTTTTGTGATAAACACAGTTCATTGCAGTAGTAGCACGAAGTCACTTCCTCCTTAGAGAAGACTGAAACAATCTACACTGTTTTATGAAAATAGGTGTGGTGAACAAGTGTTTACTTAACAAATGACAATACTCTCTTGACGATTGTGCTACAAACCCATCTCCTTCGAACGACAAAAAAAAACGCCACCTAAAGGTACACCCCCTTACGCACGTACGAACGTACGGCAGAGGCTCATACAAACAACTTTTACACCACCATGGTCAGAAAGAAAGAGCGGGTACGTTCCCAAATAGAGTGCTGACTGACCCATGCCTGACCCTGACTTTTCTCTCGCTCTTTTAACCCAGGCATGGGACATGTTTCTTGATAAGAGCTCGTTGCAATGAGCTTATATAGGCACTCTTAAACATTCATTGCACTTGCGCAACAATCTTTGTAGTTGAAATGAATTCTAGTTTCTTTGTTAAAGTACCTAAATAGTTTATTTTGAAATAATACCAATTAATTTTACTGTCACGGTAGAATACCACAAGACACGAACCTATCAAAGAAATCAAAGCAACTCAAGTATTATAATAATACTTCTTCTTTTCCTTTTATTAAGATTTTACCTTAAGACCTTTTGAAATCCGGGTATCTATCGCCGGAATGTGGAAAACACATTTCCAGTTGATTTATTAAATTCACCTCGCTGGAATTTTTCACACAAACCCACAAAAATGTCCGACTGACACATTTAATTTATTAGTGGCATTATTTGTCTCTGATATAAAAATCATACTTAACGAAATTAGGGATTGGACAAATATTAAAATATTTGATCGTTCTTTGTTCGAATCAATTAATAATTTGCATTTGATTAAATGGTGCGTTTTTACTTTGGGTTAAAGGTAGCAAACTACTTGAGCAAACCACAGACAAATAAACTTGTGCAGAAGACGTTTTTGTTTGTAATATTTCTACTGCGCAGGTTTCCATGTCGATGGTCGTTTCTCAAGAAGTTTGCCGGGATGTAAGCCTAATAATATGTACTTGCTACTAGTTAACGTGTGCTTGGTCCTGCTAAAAATCTTCAGCTAATCGGACTTCTTTCTTTGTTATATCCATCTAGTAAATACAAAATTAAAATCCATAGAAGAAACGTATGTTATCGTTTTTTTTTTGCTCTATCATAACAATATCTGTTATTCAAGCGTTGAATCATGTACGTTGGTCCCGGAACTCAACTCAACTCTACATGTTCATAATAAATTTTCATCAATACCTGCTGTGGTACCCTACACTTTGACTACCACGAGCTCACAGTTCTTTTATATTTTGCGGCGCTGCGGTTTAGAGTGAGACAGTAGGAGTATCTACATGAGAAAGTTGTTAAATTAAATGAGCATAGGAGATTGGTAAGTGAAAAGGGTATAAGAAAATGAAAAGGGATTCGAGCTTGATAAGAGGGATAAGGGATAGGAGGGTGAGTGGGGATTGATAGGCGATAATATGGGATTGGTGGGAGATAATGGGGATTGGTAGGTGAAAAGGGATTTATTTTTTTATTGGAGTTTACTCCTTAAGAATCGATTTGCATATATAAGGGGCCCGGTATGAGAAAAATGTATGAGGAGTATGACATTAATGACCTCATTACGTTTTTGTGCGCAACCTCATCTGCGCACCTTTCACTGTTAGCCATGGCAACGGATAAAAGACATTAAGTTGTCACAAATGTCAATAAAATAAATAAACTAAAAATAGATAAAATCGGAGCAAAATTAATGAAAACATATAAATAACAGAATATAGAGAAATGCCGGTAAGTGTCCAGCACTCTGGTATAGTGATTTTCAGTATAGATGGAATTATAATACATATTTACAAAATGATGACTAGTGTGTGATATTTTTGAAATTGTGTGTTTCCAGAAATACATAATAAAATATATGATGAATATCGCTGATGTTAGATGATAAAATGTGTGACATGGAACCTATGATAGTCGAAACCATGGGACGATTCCTGAGGTATCTCTACTTGTAACCGACTTCTTCGGACTTGATTTTGTTTTGTGTCTGTTTATTGGCAATCGTTTTTAGAGTATAAACTCCGGTCGTGCGTTGGAGCCGACACACATTTTTTTTTTATTATTAATTCGGTATATATAACATATTACAATCAACAAAGTACTGACTTATTAATAATTGACGAATCGATCATGATTGCAACACTCAACATGCATACACCAAAAATGTAGTTATATATATAAAACCAATAATACTAAATCGATATTAAAACTGTTACATTGCATTGCATTAAATTAAATTCATTCAAATAAAATCGAATTGAAAACTATCAATTCGATAAAATAACTTACAATTGATTTAAATATATTACATATTAAAGTTTTATGATTGTAAATTTGACTAAAATTATAATTTATTTTTAATCAATAATATTATGGATTTCTTAACATGTTTATGTGATGACATATGACGATTAATTGACATGTTTAAATGGAATTAATGTTTTGGAATGATTAACTATAGTGTGACCAATTACAATATTAATATAAAATAATTTGATATTTGCATGCTAATTTAGCGAATCATGTTTGAGCACCATATGTATTGTAACATCTTTTTATTGTACCATGTTTCTTGTAAATAAATATGAATATGAATACATTAATGAAATTATAATAAATCACAAGAAAAACAAAACATTCGCAAATCAATTAAATACGATGTTATTAAGTACATATTAAATTAAACAAATCAAGCTAAAAACTTATTATATCAAAGCGCTTAACCTACGATTTTTAGAACACATTTTTTAAATTGATTCAGATTAAGACCAAACAAAACCACATTTCCGAGGATTGGATGGTGTAAAGAGGATTCTAAGGTTGAAAAGGAATTCGAGGGTGAAGGAGATTTGAGGGTGATAAGGGTATATGTGGAAGAAAATTAGGGATCGATGGGTGATAGTGTGGATTGATGGGTGTTAGTGGGTATTGGTAGATGATAGGGGATTGTAGGGTGAAAAGGGGTTCGAGAGTGCAAGGTGATTCGAGGATGAAAATCGGGATTGGAGGATGAAAGGGATGCAAGGGTAATAAGGGGTTATTATAAGGGATTGCTGGGTGATATTGGAGATTGATGGATGATTATAGGGGATTAGCGGGTTATAATGGGGATTGGTAGGTTAAAAGGGATTGGAGGGTGAAAAGGGGATTTGGGGATGTAAGTCATTCAAGTTTGAAAAGGGATTGAAGGGTGAAAATGAGATTCGCGGTTGAAAGGGGATTCGAGAGTGAAAAGGAGGATTAAAGGGTGAAAGGAATTGGATAGTGAAAGAGATTCAAGGATATTAAGGGAATTGGTGGGTGATAGTGGGTATTGTTGGGTGATAATGGGGGATTGGTAGGTGAAAAGAGGATTGGAAGGTGTGATGGGTATTCTAGAGTGAAAAGGATTCAAGGGTGACAAGGAGATTGGTGGGTGATAATAAGAGATTGGTGGGGATAGTGGGGATTGATGGGTAATAGGGGATTGGTAGATATAGGTACTGTTTTCTCGCAAATGTGTTGGAAAACGTTGTATAATATTCGTGCGGATTGGTATTTGCAAACTTGTGACTATGGTAAGTCTACTCGTTTGTAATAAACAACCGACCGCACTTGTAAAATAAATAACTTTACAGCATTTTACGGGATAAGACGGGAACTTTTCTTTAAAATTCTAATTATTCTAGAAAATGTTTTCAGAATCATAAAAAAAATTGTCTACTTAGGAAATGATAAGAGTATTATAGGTACCTATTTGTAAAATTGCAAGTGCGATGTAGTCGTGTCCGTTTATTATCCGGAATTAAAGTAATCGCTGCTCTATTTCAAAGTAATCTTGACTTTGATGGGACATACAAGTCTAGACACAGAAATTGGGTGATGTCTAGACCGTCGACCGGGGGGTTATCGAACTGCCTGTGACGTCACTACTCTGTTTGATGCGTGATATAATGACAGCGCGTAAAGCTGTGTTTTATTTTGTGCACATTACTCGTATAGTCTAGCAATCAATGACAATCGATTTTCAGCATTGTGTTAGGTTTGATAAGGTATAGAATTCATGAAAGATGTTTATCAATTTTCTATAGCGGGCCAATTTTTTGTGTCTTTAAGGATACTTACACTAAGAATAGACGTCTTTTACTCCGTTAACGAGATGATGGAAACCATCATCTTATTTGATCACAATCACAGCACAATCTTATTTGCCAATTATCGTGTATTTAAAAAAATACAACTACTTTTTTATAGAAATGATTTTTTGTGTGGAATTAGAATGATGTGCAACCAATATCTATTAGTCTACACTATCTCTTCATCTCATGCTTCTCCAACATCTGCGAGACGAGCTTGGTACTGAATACGCTAAAATCAGCGTTCGAAATTTGAATAAAGTTGTATAAGGTCACGTATTACCTGGGGTTTCCAGATGGCTGGTGCGCGTGGTGGAAGACGTGCAGGCGGGCGAGCTGCGCACGCGCACGGGGCTCGTGCCCGCGCGCCTGCTCGCCGAACAGAAGGCCAAGGAGCAAGACCAAACAGCTCTCGCGGCTAGGAGGCAGTGAGTACAAAATATACCCTTTATATTAGAACAGTACCCTTAGCATGAAGCAGTATCAACCATTGGAATAATTTAATTCGATCACGATACGCGTCAAATGTCAAGAAGTTTTTTATGGAACCTTTTTTAAGGCTCATTACGTCCGTTGTGCTGCTGTTAAAATTTCTATACAAAACATCTGACGCGTGTCGAGATCGAATACAACTATTCAAATTCGATATTGGTTTCTTCTAAGGGTACGGATGATGAGGTGAAATATAGAACTGTCTAAAGAATATCCTTCTTGATCGCGAGCTCTAAACGTTCGCGAGTATATCGTAATCGTTTTTTTATTCGCGACACGATAATAATTAAGGTGCAAAAAAGGTGGTACCTTTTGCCAGAGGGAAAATTCCTGTAATGGCGTCTCCCCTTATAGATACTCAAAGGGTTGGGTAGCCATTGTAAAAAAATACATCCTCATACTGCAAGCCCGTATTGTGAACGAATACAAATGTGTATTTACTAATGTTTAAAAAAATAAGGAGCTTGAGTTGCGTCAGTGCTTGAAAAGAAGTGTCTGACTTAGTATGTCATAAACACATTAACTAATCTCTTACATTAAAAACGGGGCCAAACTTAAAGTACGTATTTAATGAAAATGTCTGTGCTTTGAGAGGATATTCGGATATACAGTATGTTTCGCAACACAGTCAGCTTAACCAAAAATTAAATTCGATCAAAATTGTTCAAAATAATACAAAATTTTGTCAAGTGTTTTTCAGGTGTTGTAATTGGATGAAAAATCACAAAATGACCTATGACACGACTTTAAAGTTTTAATAGCAAAAAAAACTAAAGTAGCAAACATGCTAAGATAAAGAAATAATAAAATTACAAGAAATAATTTTTTTATGAAAAGGTAATAATAAAAAATAAAAATATTTTTAGGCCTTGGGCTTAGAGTTCGAACAAATTTTGGTCAAATTACGGTACATATTTAGTGCATGGGTATTAGCTAATACTGCTGAAGCGTAAAGGTATTTGCCATAAGATGTCACCAATCAAAAAAGCTCTTAAGCCTGCCAGTATCGATATTTCTGATAAATATAAACGCAGATACTTTCCCCTTAAATAGTAACGCAATAGGAATTATGACGGTGTAGACGAATTTCTATTTAGTCAGTCGGTCGAATATCAAAAAATAAAGGACACCTCTTTTTTCTTTTGTCAATCAACCAAATAATGCACGTCAAATTTTGAGATAGGGAACTCGTAACGTCATTTCTTAGTAAAAATTGTACCACGACGTGACGTCACGCGTCATTTCGAATCAATAATATATCAGTAATGTTTTGATTGTGTGAATAAAAAAAATACCTGTCTAATACTTTTGGATAATCTACCTGATAGACGACAAAAAAGTTAGTCAACACTCCTCTTTTATTATCATGTATTTTTGCGCACGCTGTATATGTAAAACCTGAAAGTGTAAAAGTAATAAGCTGTATTTATTGGGAATGTTTGTAAAATCGTTTCACTCCCTTTTTGGAGTTGCACTTTATTGCAGGATGCTGAAATCACTGTGTTTATGTTTATGAGTGAGTTGATATGTGTCGATTCCAGCGCGAGCTTTATTTCAGGTGGCCAACTGTCCCGTTACATGCGTCATACGCGAAAATGGATCGTGGTACAGGTTTCTTTTTTAAAGTATTCCGTTCAAGTTCATTTTTGTGTTGTTGGTATGACAGCTGTCAATAAAAATATAATCAATGCGTCTTGCTTTTCTTCCACTTTAGCTATGGAGATTTCAGTTAGGTACAATAGAATAAATTGATACCGGAACTATTTGCCCAATAATTTGCTTAAAAATGTCAAAACAGACGTTTTCTTTTATAAAGAATGAGTATTGCACTTAGGATCATCTAATAACAAGAAAATTGATCAGAGATCTTTGAAATTTCACCTTTGTTGTAAATGTAGTAGTAAATCATCTACTAGATTAAATTCGTAGTAGGTAATTTGACATAACTTTCGAAATCACACTAATATTATAAAGGCGAAAGTTTGTGAGTGTGTATGTTTGTTATTTTTTCACGTCTAAACGGCTTGAGCGATTTTAATTAAATTTGGTATGGAGTTAGCTGATACCCTGGATTAACACATAGGCTACGTTTTACTTCGGAAAAATATCCCTAGTAAACCGCAGGTAGCACCGCGGGGCACAGCTAGTCGTAAATAACATAAACAGAAACTCTTTCAATTGCTTGACATTAGGAAAAACTTTGATAAACTGTTCAAAACTCCAATTAATGTAACGTCAACATTATGTCACAGGGTGGTGACAAAATTTGACACGTAAAATATAATAGTCTGAAAATAACAACTTTGTTTCCAGGGATACGTAAATTTAATCAAAAGTCTGCCTTATTGTGTTTCGATTGTTGTAAGAAAATAAGCATAAGGTGTGTCAGAAAATCAAATTGGCTGATAGTACCATCCTATAATCTTCTAGGGAAACAGTGCCTTATTTTTGAATCTTTCGTTCCTGTGAAGAGTTCGATTTCTACTCATGTTCGTTTGTCATAAAAAAATTCACTATTTTTGATTCGCTCAACTGCTTCTGGTAGAAGACATAACGCTGACGGGGAGCGGACATTGTCAGTTTGATACAAAATGAAGAAACGTCGTATGCGCATCCTGTCCTTCCTATATGTTTTGTGTCGCGACGCTTCTAGACGTTTTGTATGCATATGATGCTGAAGAGACATATGTCTGGCGCCCCGTCTGCGTCTTATCTCTTTTCTGTCTTTCCCGCGCCTAAACGAATGCTCTAGGCGACAAAAGAATTAGACTTATTTCGGTTCACTAACAACACCAGTGATTTTATGATTTCGCTCGAACTTCCAAAAATGTAACAAACAGGTGTCAAAAATACCTTAATGAAAAAGCAAAAATGTATCCAGGTCGCTTAATATTAACATCGTTGCGGAGTCAGTGGCATCATCACTTGTCACATCTTCATATCACTCGTCCAATTTAACGCGAGCTTGAAGTTATTGAGGCTAAACGCATCCAGTGCTCATCGCCTGGAGCTGTCCGCAATATGCTGGCTGTTCCGTCTGACACAACAAACAACTTGATGCTCCCCTTTGCTCACTGTCCGATTTCATTTTCCACAATTAAAATAACCCAAATCGAATCTTTGTTTGGGATGCCTTCAGATGTTTGTTTGTTTGCATTTGTGCGAATTAAGTAGGTAGGTATTTCCTTCTATTGTTAGACCTCTATTTTCGTATTTGCAGTGAAGATTCGATGGATGGTGACGCAGTTATTCTTATTGAAAGCGGTAAAGCATATTGTACATACGCAAAATTACTTGTTTTGGATGATTTGAAATTTAGGTTGGTACAACAGATAAAGGCCACGTTAAAACTTACATAGAACAAAAATATTTATATGACGTTATTTACTTAAATTGATCTAGGTTTCTGTATTTGTACATGTAGGTAAATCACAAAGAATTTCTTGCCATAAGTAAACATTTTCAATAACTTTTTGATTTAAACCACAAGCGACAATAAAATCAAAATTTTGTTCATGTTTGGTACCTACATGTGTACGTTCTAATTATTGCAAACATTTATTATTTCATAGTTATGTCAGGGCTCAGGCATTTATGATAAATGTGGTTGATAAATAAGATGGACCCATATTTGCGCCAAGTCTTGTCGCCATTTGTCCCGTTTCACAATCCACCCGATCCAATGCCAGTAAAAGATTAATCGTGATCGGTAAATCTAAACAAATCACTGCTCTAATGGATGATGAATGATAATAACTTTTTAGTTAAATCATTGACCCCGATAATCATATCACGATATTTCTTCAATAAATTTAGTTTAAATTGAACAGTTGACATACTAGTGGCCCGCCCTCGCTTCGCTTCGGTGTACAGCTGTAGTGTGAAATGGTATATTTGCCTTTTCCAAACTTCTATTGACATCACGTCACTCAATTGTTTTGCCTTTCCGGAACCTCTCCACTAACATTTGAAATTTATCGTATGGTATTAAAGTTCAAATTGACTTTTAAGTATTATTACGAATCGTTTGTATGGGAGTATAGAAGTGTTGTTTTTGGACTTTTTCAGGCATTTTTTTTAATTTTTCTCTGCGTAAGAACCTTCCTAGTACTTCAAGGAATATTAAAAAAAAAGAATTATCGAAATCGGTTCAGCTGATCTCAAAATTTGCCCTTAGCAACACATTCAGCGATTCATTTTTATATTATAGATAATGCTCTATTTAAGGCGAAGTTTACCTACTATCGCAGTTTAGTTGGTCTACTTGTAGCGCTACCTAGTAGGAGACTTCTATCTAAGTTTGAAATTAAAAATAGCTCTTTGAACTGGAGCTGTAACCTAAGAGAGGTATTTTTTCGACAATATTGAACGCAATCACAAAAAACATCAAATTGCATAGTTAGATATTTTTTCCAATTATATTCGCATTCTTACTTCATTCAAATGTCCTCTCAAACAAAAACAAAGTAATATTTTTATCCAAAAATATTGTACGAAGGGCCTTATATGTAAATTGGCACTCGAGCACACTTCGCGCTTTAAGCGCTATTTGCGCTAATTGTAGTTTGCTAAAACTGCCAATTGTCGGAAATCTGGCAAAACCAATAACTCTTTCGAATACACTAAAGCAGTGTGGATGCTATAAATCAACAACGGAAATGCAATTATTTCACAAACGTCTAGTTAACGGCCCCGACACCTGCCGTTGTGCCAAGTCTCGGCATAGGAGTAAATAAATAAGTCACAAAGCTTCATGCAGTAGGCGCGTGTGAGCGAGTACTAGCGGCCTGACGATACCTACCAATAGAAACATTTCCTTAAAAATGCGCAATAGGGACGGTGATAAACTTTTTCTTCATCTATCAGGTAGATTTATCCAAAAGTATTGGACAAGTTCTTTTTTTCCTCATTCATATAATCAATACATTACAGAGAT